TGGCGGGAGACGGAAGGCGGGGGCTTAGCAGGCTTTATATGAGGCATCCCGGCCAAAGCAGCTGGGCTGACCAGTGTGGCCTCCCCGCACTGCGACGCCTGCATCTGACATCGTGCGAACGACCTTCCTTTAGCGATCGCGTGCCACAGCCGTCCTCGCCCTCGTCGCCCTCGTCCTTTGTCCTGAGCGGCCACAACGGCCACTCCCAGCCTCGCGACCGTGCAGCCCACAAAGGCCCGGGCGTCGCCAGGGAGCAGGGGCCTCCGCCTCCAGTCCGAGTGGCGAGTGGCGAGTGGCGAGTGGCGGCCATGGCGCCCCCCATCTAATCTAATCGTTCTCCCTCCACGCTGCTCCCCCCAGGCCTGCTCGAGGCCGCCTTGCTCTCGCCCCACGAGGCCCCCCGCCCTCCACTGACGGAAATCTCTCGTAAATGGCTTGCCCACCGAGTCGCCTGCCACCCCGCCACGGCTCCCACTCCTGCTCACTGCACACTTCTCCTGGATCCGATAACGCAGTTTCAAGGCCATCATGTGCGCATTCTTCTGCACGCCGCCTACTATCTGCCCTCATCGCGAACGGCTCCTGGTCCGTCCTCCGGCGGCAGCCACTCCTGCTCTTCCTCCGGATCTAGCGCCCTGTATCTCGTCCTTCCTGACGTCCTCACGTACGTACCAACTCTCGCCTCTGATCCCATTGTTGGCCTGCGGTGGAGACGCATGCTCGTAGGCACCACTGCGCCCCCCATTGGCACACTCCCAGCTTGCATTGTCGAAATTCACCCGCCTCGTGCACCTCAAATATCACCGATAACATTTTATCCAGCATCGATCGCTCGATTACACACTTGGGCCGCCGCTTACAACCACGATGAGTGGCACTCGAGTGGCTCCTCCATTGTGCTTGCTGCCCTGAAACCCCCATGCAATTCGTCCCGTACGCCGCCCGTCTCCGTCATGCTATCGACGCCATCTTTTCTCCTTCTGTCAACCTCGCTCATGCATAATTTGGGGCATTGTCCGCATGCGGGTGCCCATGGTGTTTATGAAGCGAGTCCATCACCACTAAGATACAAAGCATGTATATTACAGGGTAGAATGATCGAAGGTTGCCAAAGGGCGGATACGGCGCCGGCGAACGAATATCGACTCGTCCAGGTTCTCGAAGGTGCAACGCAACCCAGATCTGCGCCCGCACGACAGGAGATCGGCAAACCCGTGGCCTATCGCACGGTGGTGAGTGCGCGGCGAAGATCTCCGCTCTGCGTCCGGCAGCAGACACAGATCGAGGCAATATCGGGGACGGTGCATGGCGTCGGCAGGGGGTGGAGAGATGCATAGTGCATCACGCTGGCCGCGCGCCGAGCAATCGACATCCATAAGGCTGAAATTCTATTATATCATGCCAGGATACGGCTTCACTTGGAGAGAGTGTGTGTGCACTCAAGACGTCAGCCATGATATGCCACTGAGACTGCACGTCAGTTGCCAGAATGTCCTGTGGGATTCAGAACGCACCCGTGAACAAGGTTGAGAGGATATAGGCTATACAGTCGATGTAGCCTCAAATCTGCGCCGGATCGCATGCAAGCTAATAGAAGGGGGTCACAGCGCGTGACTTTCGAGGGCACATTTCCTCCTCTCCTCTATCGCATGGTTCCACATGGCCAAGTCGAGGTCCGGAGCTTCTGTCACTAACAGGGCCTTCAGGACGAGATATGGATCAACCTTGGTCGCGCTGGGCGCGTGCAGCGGCAGCGTTGGCAGCGGAAGAGGGTTCTAGGTGACCGTTGCCAGCAGTGGCTCAGGGGACGCGAGTGGCTGGAGTCACTGGAACACCCACCGGCGACTCTTCGATGTAGCCTAGAGCGAGTACGGGCGTGTTGATCTCTTGCAACCATGGTGCGGACTTGAAAGGGCTGAGGCAGAGCGATATATCGACGAATAGCGCAGCGTCGCCGTCGGCGAGGAGCAGCAGACTTGCTTCTGTGTTGTGTGCGAGTACCCTGCGATGCCGTGTCAGTCAGATGGGGTACTGGAGATAATCTACGGACCTTCCAGCTACCCGCACTTTTCGAGAAGTCATCTCTTGGGAGACAGAGGCTATCGTGATGGGGGTAGCGGTCTGGAGCTTTTGAGCCATCGCTCGTGTGTAGCCGGGGAAGAGGACGGGTAGGTGTAGTGACTAGTCGGTCCGAAGAAGTCGAATACGTGGTTGCGGGACAACAGCCCAAACGGACCACAGTAGACTGGGGATAGAGTTTGAGTCCAACCAATCAGCGCTCCAGTATGGGCGTCTATAATGTGATCTCGGAGATCCATAATCTCTCCACAGAGTGCTCGAGTCTACTCGACCGCACCATTATCAACTTGCAACCTACCTTTCTATCGGCCGCGGGCGCTGCGCAACGCGCAGTGAGTGGGTACGCGCCCTCAGAATTGAACCTAGCCAGCGGTGTATTGACATCCCGTCAACTGGCGGAATCAGTAGCAAGTCTTACTAAGGACGATTTGGGACCGAGAACACCCAGAACTGGTACGCACAGCTACCTGGCCTCGCAGACTCCTAAACAAGTCGTCAAAGGCTTCGTACCCAGCTCGAGTCTGGCGATATGCATTCCAAACGGTCCCTATCACCCGCTCCACTCCCACCACCCAAACGGGCGCACACCACATCCAACCCCGAGCAGCCGCAAGCGTCCTTCTCTGCCCACGCTCTTCAGTCGACGTTCGACACCCTGCTCTATGACGAGATCGTGCTCGTCATCTTCTCTCATCTCTCCTGGGCAGACCTCTGCGCCGTCCAGCCGACGAACAGACACTGGTCGCGGCTGTCGCTCGACAATCAGGTACATATCCCTCACGCGCATCTCCGTTGGTCATGCGGACGTTAAACACCTGCCGATAGTTATGGAAGGACTTGTACCTCCGTGAGTACGGTCGGCCACGGCTGCGCGGGGTAAGAGGCTTCATTGGTCGTGCTGATGGGCGGGAGGTGCGGCCCCTGCCTGGAAGGGCCAAGTCGGACGATGTGAAGGACTGGAAGTGGATGTTCCGGATCAGCTCCAACTGGCGCACTGGTAAGTTGAGATTTTGGGGCTGGAGGTGCTTCTGATTGAAGAGCTTTTGTCCAGGACGCTGTTCAGTGAAATCTTTGAGCGAGGGCATAGAGCTACCGTTGTCGACAGCACCTTCGCAGCAACCTCCAGACTTGGGAGGCGGCCAACAGGAGACGTTCTTGATGATTTCCGGGAACATGACTATCACTGCGTCTTCTCGCGCGTCGACTTGTCCGATCGTCTCGCTCACAACGCCCTCACATGGGACATTCACCATGCGCTGCCAGTCAAATCGCTTAGGTAGCACACGCATAACTTCTCTCGCCCTCGATCAGTCTCCGCCCTCTTCTCACACTATACGACTCGCAGCGTGTCTAGCCACGGGTGAAATAGCGGTATTTTCCCTCGACCACCGCACGCCCTCGCTGTCATTCCGACAGCTCACATACGTGCCTGTGACCCAGAATTCACGTACATCGCCCATCATCCAAGCCGTATACCACCATCCGCTCCTCGTCACGCTCTCGCAGGCGTTCCATCTCTCGCTATATGACCTGTCCGACAACAACGTGGCCCACACACAAACGCTCACGTCCTTCACCTCGCACCCACCCAGCTCGCTCGTGCTGTCTTCTCCCTCGCCCTCCTCGTACAAGCTCGTGCTCGCGTACGCGATCCCCGTCTACCCCTCACACTGGAGCGTGGGCGCGACAGAACTGCTCATTTCCACCCGCGCGCCCACCCGCATGGCAGTCACGACCACGCGCACGACGCGGGCGATCGACGTGCCGCAGGGGTGGATCGACGAGCACAAGCTCCGCCTGATGCGCGAGCAGTGGGCGCGCAAGGTCGCGCGCGTCGCGGACACGCAGACGGACGGAAAGTGGGTCGTCCTCGCGCCCGGAGACCCGCTACTCCCGCCGCCCCCCGCCGACGCGCCCTCCTCACCTTCCCCCTCGCCTTCGCCATCCCCCTCCGCGTCGCCGGTCCCCCGGTCCGCGTCGAGCCCGCGGAGCCGCTCGTCCACCTACGCCTCGTCCAGCTTGCACTCTGCCAGCGCGCTGCAGCTGTACCGCCTGCACCTCCCCGCGTCCGCGGCGTCCAGCTCCCTGCCGAAGCTGACGTTCGTGCGCAGCCTCCACGGCCAGATTGGCCCGGTCTCCGCGCTGTCGCTCGCGGACGGGCGCTGTGTCAGCCTCGGGGTGAACGGCAGCATATGGGTGTGGGATCTCGAGGGCGGGACGGGCGCCGAGGTCTCTGCTGGGTTTGCGGAGGGCGAGGAGGACGTCGGTGATGATCGTGCCCTGGGGGCGGCGCTGGCGGTGAAGGGGAACGCTGTGTTTGATGAGCGGAGGATTATCACGGCGGATGCTGCGGGTGTGCGGGTGTGGAGATTCGATATTTGAACTGTAGAGGCTCTTAGATTTTCGCTGAATTTTATCGTTTACTTTTATATTGTACCCCAATTTTCTCAGCCGAATTGATTTATACATGGGGCTCTCTACATGCTGTGTGTGAGTCGACCAATCGCATGTTTTCCAGGCCAGCCACAGGAATGGGAAATGACTCCCAAAGCAGCAAGTCGTATGAATGGGAGTGAAAATGCTTCTGCGCGAATGTTATGCATCCTTCGTTCTTTCTGAGCTGCTAAATCTGGACAGAAGTGAAGCGCTCGACGAGCGGTGGGACTTGTGGCGGCAATGAATCACTTTCCAAGTCATGAACGCTACAGCACCATCTCGTGGTCCGGCACCTCTTGCGCGGAGCCTACACACTACTCTCAAAAACCACAAGGGACCGGTGCATGTGGTCCGATACGCGAAAGGCACCGCGAAATATGTCCTTACGGGTGGGCAGGACCGGACGGTTCGACTGTGGAATCCGGACTTGGGGACGGAGATAAAGACGTTTGCTGCACACGGCTACGAGGTGCTTTCTGTGAGCGTGTAAGTCGTCTTAGGAGCCGAATGCAACGCGAACTGTGTTGAGAGATTTCCGTTGTAGGTCGCACGACAATGGCAAGCTTGCGTCCTCGGGGGGAGACCGCTCCGTGTTTCTGTGGGACGTTATGTCGGGAACGACAATCCGGAGGATCGCGGGACATATGGGGAAGATATTTGTTGTTGAGTTCAACGAAGATGCCAGCGTCTTGGCCAGTGGTACGTCCCCGAGCGCAACTGCGGCGCGACACTCTAAACAGACCCTCAGCATAGGCTCCTATGATTCTACCGTGAGACTCTGGGACCTCCGGTAAGTCTCTATCTGAATCTTGTCCTCCGGCTTGGATCACTGACTGTTTTTACAAAGCTCTCCAAACCGTCAAGCCATCCAAGTCCTCGACGATGCTCGAGATTCTGTCCAGACCCTACATGTAGGGCCGACATATGTCCTTACGGGTTCGGTGGATGGGCACGTCAGAACCTATGATCTTCGTATGGGCGAACTTCGCTCCGACTTGATAGGCCGTATGTGGCGGACGCTCCTTCAGTGACAAGCGTCTCACTGCAGCTCACCACACGTAGATCCTGTCACATCCGTTGTGCCTTCAAAAGACGGCCAGACGTATCTCGTCACGACGCTTGACTCTCACGTCCGCCTGATGGACATGTCGACAGGTAAGATGTTGAACGACTTTACAGGCCATTCGATTGCATCATATCGTTCTCGTGCGTGCTTCGGCCACGCTGAAGCTAGTGTCGTCTGTGGCGACGAAAAGGGCATGGTGTGGGCTTGGGACCTGCTCGATGTGCGTTTTCCCCTGAATGTCTTCACACCTCCGTTCTGACCGCTGTGCTATGATGGTGTAGGCTGCGCCGCTCCAGCCCAATCCTCCACCAAGAGTCCATGACAAAGTGATAACGTGGGTCGAGCACCATCCGACTGAAGCAGATGAGATGGTGACCGCAAGCGCGGATGGGACGGTGAAAGTATGGCGGAATGCTCGTTGAGTGTTTGTGATGAATAGATGTCGTTCTATCATAGTTTCGCCTCTCGGTACGGGAATGCAGTATTAACGATGTACACTATCACGCTTGTGTATTCGTGTCAGCTTGAGCTGTCGTGACGATTGAACACATGAAAGAGCTCTTCCTACTACCGTGACGCTCTGGAGATCGTAGATGTCGCATAACTTACCCGTTGTCTGTCTGTATGAATAGTACAAGCTGATTGAGTAACTTGCAATTGAAAGTGGAACTTAGAAGATTCTATTTTGGGCTAACGCGTGACGACATACCATGTGACCGCGCCAGATATCTAAAGTCGGGAAATCCCGACCGACAGAGGCCTCGCTTTTCTTGAACTATTGGTTATGTATAGGGTGGCGGGTTATTCTTAGTTTCTCTCTAGCACGACGATAGGGACGAAATTCGCAGAGCGTAATTTTTTTCCTCTTATCCAGCCTATAGGCTACACTGACCGGCATTACTTTGACAGCATATACAATTCATAGCCTGAGCGCGACAAATTCTCGACAATGATACCCATCCCGGTAGAACTTCTGGACCATATAGCGAGCTACTTGTGGTACGACTCATCATCGCTACTGGCGATTTCACTTTGCTCTCAGTCTTGGCGTTCAGCGTGCCGGCCTTATGTATTCCGTAGAATTACCATCAACACGGAGTGCAGACACCAGGAGCTACTCGGGTTGATAGAAGATACTCCTGCAATTGCGCATTGGGTCCGGGAGTTGCGCATCAGGGAGTCGTTGCCTGGGGAAGCAGATTTAGCATGGGTTCCCTCTATTGCCATCTCGATGGCGAAGAACCTCAAGAAGGTCTACTCTCTGGAGTTCGTTGACTTGTATGTCCCACTCGAAAAGATGAAGAAATATGCCAGCACGGAGCTCTTCTTGAGCATGCCGTCCTTCAAGGCCGTAACGCGTCTCAGCTTTGTTCGATGTCAATTCCATAGGTCCTTCATCTTCTCCCTCATAGCTCTCCTTGTCTCTTCCCTTCCTAATATCCATGATCTACACTACCACGACATCTCATGTGTGACCGCTCACTATCATATACCTATGGAAACAGATGCAATCGACGCTGGCATGCATTCATATCTCGCCCATATACCTGCGGTTCACTTTCACACATATGACAGCGGCATTCCGTTTCCGTGGCTTCCGAATTGGTTCATGAGCACGCAAGCACCAGGATGTCGAAGCTACTCCTTTCACACCTCGCGGGTGTCCGATTTGCCCAAGATAGGTCGTGTCATACAGGGACTCGGTGGGGCTCTACATCAAGTCGAGTTGCGGTTTATCAATTCGAACAAATGGAGACGGGATCACGGGTCCAACAGTATGTTCGGCTTCATCGTTTCTGTTAATGTGCTCCTCACTGTATCTCCAGTTATCCTTCACTCGATCAGTTTTTCCAAAAACCCACAGTTGCACAGCATTAACCTGCACGATCCAAGTCATCCTGTCGTTGTTCCGCTCCTCGCTAGCATTGCATCGCCGAGCGTGCTAGAGCTCAAGTTTTCGATCGCATTCGAGAATACGTGTAAATTTAGGAAGAAAAAAGTATATGACAACCTGGAGGCCATCCTGCTCAGCCCTCGCTACGCCAACCTCCTCAACGTTTATTTTGTCTACACAGGCTCGCTGAGACTCGCTGTAGTCTCCGGGAAAGTGCATCACATCTTCAATTCCTTGTCACGTCGAGTACATTTGCATGTCTTGGCAGCGGAGCCATCACAGGTAAATCCTATGGCAATCTATCCGTCGTATCGAATATTCATGCATTTCGTCTCGCAGGACCCTTGTACTTGAGCAGGAGATATAGCGTTCAAGAAATAGTGTCGTTATGCCAGCCGGAGGCGCTTCAAGTCAGCAATGGCCCGGTTGTCCCCGATAAGCGTATTTGGCATCCACCAATTTCCTATCGTTTTGTAGTACAAAGGCCAATCGGCCTCGCCCAGGATTTCGTACCTCAGGAGTCCGGAGAACATAAGTTGAGGATCTCTGAATCTATCAGAGCAGTTTTCGGTCCACAACTGTATAAATCTGGAGTCACACGAGCTCTGTTTTTAGACTTATGGTCAGAATATTATGCATATTCACTGACGTACGTACTTACCGCTACCCATTCCGCACTCGAATCTTGTCCACAATCTGAGTAATAGACGATTCCGGTAACTGCCGGGGCATGTATCTCGGTTAAGGATCTCAGCCACAGCTGCGTTCGTCGGAGTTTGTTTGGAACTGAGGTACTGGCAAACTCTATTTTTCAAGATACACACAACACCGTCAAGCGTCGGCGCCGTCAAGACTCCAAGACTATCCGCAACAATGGCCTCCCGCCCCACCGTTAACGTGCGCTCGACCTCTGGGGGTATGTATTACGTTGCATTCATGAAATATTCACGGTCTGATCTCTCTTACAGAGGCATCGAGCTCCCTTCCCTTGCCTGCGGTCCTTACCGCACCCATTAGGCTTGATGTTGTTCAGCAAGTCCACAGTAAGTATTTCCCGGAGAAGCTGAGGGATCACTCTAAATGTCACTGCAGAGAGTATCGCAAAGAACAAGAGGCAGGCGTACGCAGTGAGCGAGAAGGCTGGTCACCAAACTAGTGCTGAGTCGTGGGGTACTGGTCGTGCTGTTGCTCGTATTCCCCGTGTCGGCGGTGGAGGAACCCACCGCTCTGGCCAGGTATGTACTTCCTCTGCCTATTCTCAACACACGCACTGAGCTAGTTCAGGCTGCTTTCGGTAACATGTGCCGTGGTGGTCGCATGTTCGCGCCCACTAAGACCTGGCGGAAGTGGCACGTAAAGGTCAACCAGGGCCAGCGCCGCTTCGCTGTCGTCTCCGCTCTCGCTGCGTCTGCGCTCCCCTCGCTTGTCCTTGCCCGTGGCCACCGTATTGAGGAGATCGAGGAGGTCCCCCTCGTCGTCGCGTCCGCTGTCGAGTCCTTCGTGAAGACCAAAGAGGCAGTTGCCCTCCTCAAGTCCCTCAAAGCGTATACCGATGTTGTCAAGGTCTCCAACTCACGTAAGCTTCGTGCGGGCAAGGGTAAGCTGCGGAACCGTCGCCACCGCCAGCGCCGCGGCCCGCTCGTTGTGTACAACGAGGACAATGGCATCGTCAAGGCGTTCAGGAATTTGCCTGGTGTTGAGCTCGTGAACGTCAGGAGACTGAACCTGCTCCAGCTCGCCCCCGGTGGTCATCTTGGCCGCTTTGTTATCTGGACCGAGGGTGCCTTTGGGCTCCTGGACGAGGTTTTCGGCACCTTCGATAAGGCAGCAGTTTACAAGAAGAACTTTGTGTTCGTGCATTCCACTCACTTTGAATTCGGGGTGCTCATGACTATTGATTATGACAGCCTTCCCACCGCGAAGATCAGCAACCCTGACGTCACCCGCTTGATCAACAGCGATGAGATTCAGGCTGTCGTCCGTCCCGCGAACCCCAAGCACCAAAAGCGCCCCTGGACGCAACACAAGAACCCCCTCGTTAACAAGGGTGTTCTCTTCCGCTTGAACCCCTACGCCAAGACCATCCGCAGGCACGAACTCCGTATGTTACGTTTATCTAAGAACCCTGGAAACCTTCTGACCCCATTGCATATAGTCAAGCAAGAGCGCGTGAAGGCACAGAAGGACAAGAAGAAAGCCAAGGCATCCAAAGCTGCCGGCGAGAAGTTCCTGACCACTCTGTTCGCTCCGTGAGCGTGATGGGTTGTGGTATTGAGGAGGGCGCGTGGCCGCTATGCAGATTGGCTGATATGATTACGACCTGTCTACTGTTACCAACACATGTCTTGTATGACATCCATGCTACGCGATTGTTCCATGTGCAACGGACTAAGGTAGCTTTTAAGAGCGCTCTGCACAAAAATCCTTGCGGAGATGATCACTGCATGTGCAGAATTGTTCTGAGATCGAGTGTATTTGTGCGCGATCGCGAAGTTACGGTAAGAGATAATAACCTAGTCAGATGGGAGCTAGCACTAGGTCTCCCTGGATGTCCTGGCTCTGTAATTCTAGTCATCTCTGGGCAATTTGGTAGCCTCCTCCATAGCCTTTCGCCTCCCACCCAACATTAGATCCACGTAGTCAGCACCGCCTAAGACGGGTCCTTCCGCATCATCTTTCCTGCGCTTGCCTACCTTCGCCTTTAATCCTGCCCTTTTCTTTTGTTCTTGAGCGGCGGAGGTGGATACATCGGAAGGTTTAGTTGCAGGACGAGGAGCAGAAGCAGCTGCAGAGGTCGAAGAGGCCGTTTTCTTCTGTTGGGTGCCGCGTACGGTTAAGAATGCATCTGGAATCAGGAAGTCGATGAGACTCACTGCTCGCTTGTGGAGTTTTGCGCTGCGTCCCATGTGGTAGACGACTCTCGAGCTTCGAGCCCTCAGGGTGAAGGTATGTAGATAAGATTAGCGCAGGACGGAATTTATGAGCCAGACGCTCGTCGGCTCAGGCTGCGCTCCCCGCGATTGGCGACGTCCCGGCTATTTAAACTCGACTCAATGCTGGAGGAGGGACCGATGGCTACTCTCATGAACGACCCAATGCGCCTGTACCGCGCGAGGCGCGACGCTGAGCGCAAACGCGTAACGGAGAAATACCTCATCGAAGGATTCATATCTTCTGGTACGTACGGCAGGGTGTACAAGGCAAAGAGCAGGGACAGCGATGGCCGAATACACGCCATAAAGAAGTTCAAGCCTGACAAGGAAGGGGACATCATCACATACACGGGTATAAGCCAGAGTGCTATTAGGGAAATTGCGGTGAGCGCGATCTTCGCCGACGTGTGGCTCATTTGGTGACCCTCACTCAGCTGAATCGCGAAATATCCCATGAGAACGTCGTAGCACTCAAAGAGGTTATCCTCGAGGACAAGTCGATATATATGGTATTCGAGTACGCGGAACACGACTTCCTCGTTCGTACGTTCAATTCGATCCAATCAAAAACTAATCTGACTGTCTTTGCGGTTTGGAGTAGCAAGTAATCCACCATCACTCTCAGACACTTCGCACAGGAATAACCTTGCCCGTACTCAAATCTCTAACCTATCAGCTGCTCAACGGCCTCCTCTACCTCCACACTGTGCACATCATTCACCGCGACCTGAAGCCTGCAAATATCCTCATCACCGCATCTGGGGTCGTCAAGATTGGTGACCTTGGCCTAGCACGTTTGACTCATCAACCACTTCAGCCACTTTTCGCGGGAGACAAAGTTGTGGTGACCATTTGGTACCGCGCCCCAGAGCTTTTACTCGGTGCGAAGCACTACAACAAGGCGGTTGATGTGTGGGCGGTAGGGTGCGTGATGGCGGAGCTCGCGAGTCTGCGTCCCATATTCAAGGGCGAAGAAGCGAAGCTAGATTCCAAGAAAAACGTGCCATTCCAAAAGGACCAGCTCCTCAAGATCTTCGAGGTGTTGGGCACACCTGATGGTTAGCGCAATTGCATAGCGCCTAATAATGCGTTTCTCAAAAGCGTTATATTGTAGAACGAGAATGGCCTGGCGTGAAGACTCTTCCGGAGTACCAGAACATGAAACGGCTAGACGTGTGAGTATTCCATCATTGGCCCACACACACATTGACAAGAATGAACAGGTACAAGAACCACTTATTAGACTGGTTCCAGTCTCGAACTCGCTCCACCGAAGGCTACGAGCTGCTCCGTCTTCTCTTCGCCTACGATCCCGACAATCGCCTAACAGCGAAAGAAGCGCTGCAGAACAAATGGTTCCACGAAGACCCAAAGCCGACCGCCAAGTACGTATACATTCATAACGCCCACCCAATGATTTCCCCACTGAGCTGAAATGCCTCATATCATAGCGCGTTCCAATCACTCCCTCCGCATCAAATTCCGCCACAACGGCGCATCTCGCACGACGACGCGCCGTCCATGATCCCGCTCCCAGCGGCGTCGCAGTCGCAGGCACAGTCACAAGTACAGGCCCAGATCGCACAGGTACAGGCGCAGGCGCAGGCACATCTATCGGCGCAGCTCTCGCACTCACACTCAGGGAAGCCGGGTAGTGCAGCAAGCTTTGCAAGTCTCAGCGGGGGTGCTACTGGTATCGGGAGTGGACACGCAAGGAAGAAGGCCCGAATCGGATGAAGGGCTGGAGCCCTTGACAGTGCTGGTATGTATTTGAGGTTTGTAGCTCTACTCGTTTTCAATCAGGTTTTGCTTTTACATTCCGGATTTTTTTGATGACTACAATCGCTGTGAGATACAAGTTTTGTATGTATTGCTAGCATTTCTATGAGCGGACACTATTGATTGCACAAGATTATAATACACTGGGTACATCGCTACAATTTAGAGTCCATTTAACCAATAACTCCGGCCAAAGTTATCATAGACTATGACGGATTCCAAGCCGAGATTATCTCGTCGAGAGACCGTACAGACCACCCCGACCCCATGACGGTCGTCATCTGGGTGCCTGTAGCATGCAAGACCTCTCTAATGCCTTGGTCCAGCACCGTCGCATTGAGTGTGCCATTCGGAGGAGGTGCACTCAGACATTGCTGGTGCGCATGGTGAGCCAACGACTTCAAAATTACAAGAATAGGCGCAGCTGGAACGCTATTCCGTTGGAGATACCACGACAGGGCACGGTGATACTTATATTCCTCCGAGTCAACGGGAGGCATTGGTAAGGTTTCGCCTCGAACATAGTGTCGTAGTAAAGTTTTGAAAGCGTCGGTGTCGCGGATGTCGTCTAACTGACGATCCAACGCTAACTGGGCACCCGAAAGAGTACTTTCTCGAATCAGCGGCGGCCGAGGATTATTTTCGCTTCGTCCACTGAATCGTCGATCGTAAATCCTGCTGTAGAAATCCGTAGCAAACCGGAGGTCCTGGGAGCGCAGGTTGAAGTATCGTGAATCGGGCGACATGGTGCGGTAGCGATACAAGGTGAGGTGCGTCTGTATTGTTTGCGACTTGTCCTGCAGGATGCTGTCCAGAAGACTGGCATGACAATATGCTTGCAGCTGCTTCTCTTCCGGTGTCTCGCCATCATCACGACAGAAGCGATCCGCAAAGGCCAAAAACAGAACGTCGTTCGAAAATGACGAAATAAAATGGTGTAATTCGCCATATGAATGTGATTCTGTGCTGCTCGGCTGGGGGAAGTCGAGTGTCGCCGCATCGCCGGTGGAGGAGCCAGACCGAACAAATAAACTACGGCTGCCTTTCGGGTCTTCTCTATAGCTCAAGAATGCAGTGCGACGCTTCACAAAGAGCGTCTGACTCCGTAACAGCGTTTCCTTATGGCGAGGATAGTTCGCAATATCTAGATAGAATGGCCAATACCGGGGAGTATCCACACGAATTGAGAGCAGTTTGTCAAGGTCAGGTATCAAGGTTGGTGAAATGAGCTGCGTCGTGCCAACCTCTTTGCCTTCTTTAACCTTGATCTTGATGGGCAGATAGACGACCTCTTTTGTGTCCACATCGCGAGGGATTAAACATCGAGGTTCCACCGCTAAAACCCATAAATGTCGGAGCGCTTGCAGGTAGCTCTTGTTGTCGGAAGATACATGCACAAATCGGGGAAAGAAAGCAGCTAACATGCATGCAATGGCGGCATCTGAGGTACCGAGAGTAAAACGGCCTCCACCCAAGAACAATAAGCCGAGAGACATGTGAGTTGCTACGTGGGTTCCGTAGCGGATTGGTTGATTATACATCCCGTATGCATAACGAAGCCTTCTGAGGCAGTTTATCTCGCCGGTACCAGCCATTACCATGTTGAGAGCAATTGAAATGAGGTTCAGTCCATCCCGGATTGCTGCACGCTTGATTCTATGGTCAAATGCAGGACCTGAAGAGGAAAAATGAGTGGCATCAGAGATAGAGAAATTATCTAAGACTTACTATTTGTGTATGCCATCTGACTAAACATGTCATAGTGCTGGATGATCAACAAGTATGCTTCTTCTCTTGCCGTCCCGGCATATTTCAGAGCGACTGCGAAGCAAAGACCTGCAAGGAGATTGTAGTACGCTAGTTCATATGCATCATCTTCCTGCTTGCCTCGGAACCTTGCCGAAACCGCTGACAGGATGGACTGAGGAATCTGGGATGTCAGCCATTCCTTTGATGGTGTGATCTTGTCCCACATTATTAGAGCCTTAGCTAGCACACGTAGAAGCAAGAAGCTCGGCTGTACACTATTTAGGGCAAGAAGAGTATCAGGGATAGTGAGGATATCCGCAACGTCCTGTCTGCCTGTTCTAAGGTATATCAAGCCCAGAGTGATCGTCGCGGCTGGAGATGTCAAATTGATGTCAAACGTTGGGCGTGCCTGCTTGCCATCCATCACGGTGTGACCTTCGCCATGAATAAGGATACGTAGTCGTGAAAGGAATGCCAGATCAGCAGGTATTGAAGAGCCTTTACCGAGCATCACCATACCGCATGCGAGCGCAGCCGAGAGTGTGTAGGCTTCGCGATACTCGTTGCTCACATCGGGCTGGTATAGATCCTTGCGGCTAATTTGACTCAAACAGACCTCAGCCATGCGCCTGTTCTTGGTGCCCATGTAGAGAAGGCCGATGCCCATCAGACCAGCCGCTTGGGTGATCAAAGGAACGTTCAAATCAACTGTTGGGGTCGGTAACAAGGCGGGCGTATGCACAGCGAGTAGCTTTGTAACATGACGATTACTGGTTCCGGCATTGGCTGCTGAGAGTCCTAGAAGAACACCGATAGAGGTCATGTCGTGTTTTGGTGTCAAATATCCGAACGTATGCCATGTCAGCATTTCACGTAGATGCCCAGTAAGGCCTAGGGCGAACAAGAAACCGGCGTGCTCGGGGGTAAGTTCTGACGGCTTATTGAACTTGATCCAAGTACTTTCTACAGCATTAGACTCTGACGAGATTCGTAGTCCAGCGGCAACCCCATTGTGGAATTCGCCCCAGTTTGTGCATTCCAGTGGAATCTTGCCAGACTCCGGTGTTATCAACGCATTGAGTGGCTGAAGGCGAACCGTATATTCGATCTTGGGTATTGCGTACGCCTCGCGAGTGACCGTGGGTACAGAGCCAAAAGTGAATAACGCTCTGCCCACAGGCAATGCTAGGGTTCTTTCCGCCAACCTCACGACTTGATGCTGCTGTTCTTTGGCTTGATCATGTTCGCTGTAAAATTTCTCAGTCATTACGACCACATCGTCCAATCAATAAGTAATATACAGACCTCAATTCTGGTCTTTCAATCGCCTTAACTGTAGGTATGGTAGATGAGCACAACATACGTGCTACCTCTTCCAAGCGTCTGTCTTGACCAAATCGTATCTGGGTGAAGTCGCCTAAATCCATCTCAACGCCCGAAACTGCACTAAATTCACCAGTGATTGCTTTGCATGTATCGTCAATATGCTGGCGCATCGTTTTCCGAGCCGTTGGTGGCAGCTGACGGCAGGTGAGAACGATGAATCAACAGGTTTCAATAACGAGCTCACGATAAAGTCTTTGATAGATCGATATCCTCGGTTGTTAAGTGGGTCAGCTGGTGCGTCCATGACTTCCGCGAGGTCATTCCGCCCTATGAGATTATATGCAAAAAGAGACCATTCGCCACTAGGAGACAGTTGACACGTTCGACAAGCCTCTCGGAACGGTGCTGCAACCCCTAAAGGTAGCGCCCGGATGACGTCGAGGCCTATATGCGCCTTCACCATGACTTGAAGGGCATTCTCGGCGCGCTTCCGGGTCTCCAGGACTTTGTTATCTGCCAGCGATCTATACACGTTGGTGAGCTGGCGCAAGAGGATCAATGGTTCCCCATTGCCAAATGCAAAGGATGGGGAGATTTTGAATGACTGGGCTATAGGATGGGTATCTAAAGGCGCTATATTCCAGTCCGGGTTATTGATACGGCCATAGAGGATGGCAGACGCATCCGCGGGCCACACAGTAAGGCGATCATCGACGTGTCCAACAACTAAGCAAAAATTGTCAGCAAATAAGATGTATAAGTCCAGAAGATGACTTCACCTGCCCCGTTTGGCGATGGCCAAGCGTCCATAGCATCAGGGCAAAGACGTTTCCAGTAGTCAGCCCACTCCGGGCGGACGAGGATAGCGATCCTGCACAAGACAGGAACAAGCCTGAGTAGCTCCTGTGCCCGATCCGTCATAAGCCGCATATCTTCTGCTACGTTGTGCAGGGCCAGAAGTATTGGACCAAGATAACGGCTCGCCTTCGCCGATGCCTTCAGCACCGGGTTTGATATAGGGTAGGGCGTCGGCAGCTGTAATTTCCGTAGCACAGTATCATCGCGGAAGCGAAAGCAGGATGCTGTTCGTGCCATGGCTTGCCACGAATCGTCAATGCGGGTACGGGGAAGTTGTACTGGCCTAGTGTCCTGGTCTATCCCGAATGTCTCGTATAACGCTGAAGCAAATGCGGAGAAAGATACTTCTGGAGACACATTTAGACCTTTCCGTGACCAATTCACCAAATAGCGGTGATGAAGAACGAAAAAGAGATCGGAGGGTAACGTCAGAGCCAACATCATCAGACACTGGCGAGATGCAAGGTCACGGGGCGTGAGGTCGATTGTCGCGCGGCATCGTGAGCGATCTGCAAACATTATCGTGACCGACGACTCCACCGCTTCATTGACGGCGACAGCCGCCTTACTCGATGAAAGATAAGTCTGGCTTCGTAAAGAGTTGGGATCTACATCCACGTTAGAGCTATCGCGGCCAGTGGTGAGAGTGACGTGCAGAGGTAGCTCATAGAGCCCATGGGTCAGGAGGGCAAGACTTCCATCTACCTTGACAATTAACAGATCTCGGATTACGTCGCGGGTTGCACGGATTGAACAGACTGAACAGGCAGAAAGGCGAGCCTCTACTGTGGCGACCATGTTGTGTTCATGTTTGGCTATTCGGAAAATATGCAAAGTCCGCGTTGCGATAAGGCATACGCCAAGTAGTGAGCGATTTTCTTTACCGTCCCAGCGTTGGTCAAATTGACCAGCAGTGATGACTTTGTAGTTGGTTGCACTGAAGCCAGTGACACGACGTATGAACAGTGAGAACGGAAATCTGGCCGAGGACTACTCACTCGATCTCCGAGATCTCTTCCGTATGCAAACGTTCCATCCAATATGCTGCCTGCATTCTTCCACTGAGGATAGGATCTGCAACGAAGTCACCATCCAAACGCACGCCCAGAGCCATCTTGTCCATGGTGGTACTAACGTCCAACCGACTGAGGGAGTGACGATGCTCCTTCCCGTGAGGAATCCTCTGTAACTCCCCTGCACTTCCGCCATTCACGATGGCGGTCATGGATGCTGGAATAGCGAGGTTGGGCTGCGTGCCATGAAAAGC